GTTTGATCTGTAATTATTTTGATACTTACTGAGCTTGTGAGTGAGTTGATAATAGACCTTGCCAACCACACAGGATCGAGTAGCGAACAGATGGGATGAGGTATTCCTTGGACACAAGAGACAACAACGTTTCTGCGCCTTCCAATCTGCGCTGACCTCTCTCCATCTGCAGTTAAAAAAAAAGTCCCTACATCACGTTTACATTTTTATGGACCCTCAATTGAATCTGGGCTCCAAATTTAGTCTCGGGAGAAGCTGAGCCTTAAGCGGTAGAAAAGACGTACATTGTAGATGTATAATGCAGTTATCAGTTGTGGTTTCTTGGAAATCACTTTAGAATGCTCTAAAAGAAGTGGTCGTCACCGACTTCAACTTCACAAACTCATCAATTATAATTCACCAAGTTKAAAGAGCTCACTGACGGGTATTTTGAGTTATTTTGGCCACGTACAAAATTACCTTTAAATTGAAGGAAACCTGGAAATAGTAGTTAACTAAGATAGAAAACCACTAAAGAGATAATATTAAACCATAAAGGAACAAGGGGGTTAAGGAGATTGACACGGATTACTGACAAACGAAAAGATGGAGAAATTTAGGCTAAGCTTTCCAAGATGCGCAAACCGTGACGTACTACTTTAAACAAAAGAAATAATGACCGTGACGGTGTTTGGATATCTGATCTTAATTAGCATAGCTTTTGAAGATTTCATTTTTCCGTTTTCTCCTTAGTTTTAGCTTCGATTGCAAAAATAGATCAAACACTCGAGACAGTGTTTGACCACATTCCCAAACACCACAAGGTGCCTCAAAAATACTCGGCTACGCCTCGTATTTCCAACACTCCTCAGTTCCTGGTGTTTGAAAATGTGGTCAAACACAGTCTTTCGTGTTTGATGTAATATATCAAACCTGCCGGTGAAGACACTTTCGTAGTTTCTCGACATCAACCGGCTCGTCGTGTAGAATAAACTCCTTGATGTGGTTCATTAACAGTGTCTCTGCAGATGAACCAATCATTCGCTCACGAAGCCACTTGACTTTACGTGCATTGGTCAGCGACATATTCAAAGCTATGTGATCAACCTGTGAAGTAATGAGAACGCGTCAGCTTACATCTTTTTTCCAACACTAATTGCTTTGAGTGCTTCCTTGAGGATCATATCAATTTTCAAAGTGTAATTTCTGTGAGCTAAGTAGACCAAGTTGGCTTTGTGAAATGTTCATAAACATGGTTAAATCACAGCCGATGAAACAGCAGAGACCAAGTTAATACAAGAAGCATAAGAAATACTCTGACGTACTCAGGATCATGTATGCTCACAAAAGGTGTTTGGAAACTACGTTTCGATGTATAAAGGCCATTTGCTTGTTTTACAGCAAAACACCGCTACCTTTTGTTTGGTCTTTTGCTCCACATTCTCTTTCTCCTTCAAAGCTTTTTCTTCTGAGACATCACTATCACAATGGACAGCATCATCTTCTTCTCTCACTGCAGGCTTTTCTTTCCCTTCCGTCTTCTTTTTCTCTCTGATCATTCCCTGCACAATCCTGGCCCATCGAGGACGCGTGTTCCGTATCCTCAGACGCGACAGTGTGCATTCCTCACTGGACATCGCTGGGTGAAGGTCTGTGAACAGGAACTGACATCTTTCCAGAGCTGGGGAGCAGACTTCCTCATACGAGCGAGAAGATTCTTGTCGTGCCTTTAAAGAAACAATGATTACTAATTATAAGATG